ATTTCAGGGCAGATAGATCTTGACCTGATGAACAATTTTACTCCATTCAGATTTGCTCTAAATGCTTTGATTTCAGAGATATAAGCCAAAATCTGCATTTTACCCCTATGATAATCGGACACAGTTTTCATACTAGATATCCCAATGATGATTGTGACCAAGTTTGATTAACTTTGGCCCAGTAGTTTCAGAGGAGAAGATTTTTGTAAAACGACGGACGACGGACGTCAAGTGATGAGAAAAGCTCACTTGGCCAAGGGCCAAGTGAGCTAAAAAGGATATTGCAGAGTGGAACTGTTTTGTCTGCTAAACCGACGTGCACTTGCATATTATAATAGATAGAGATAAACTGTAAACAGCAAAATTGTTCAGCAAAGTTAGATCTAAAATTAGTCAACATGACCAAAATTGTCAATTGACTCCATAAGGAGCTATTGTCCTTTAAAATCAATTTTTAACATTTGTTTTGCAGATTTTTGTAATCTTTTACAAAAATCTTCTCTGAAACTACTGGGCCAAATTAAACCAAACTTGGCCTAAATCATCCTTAGGGTATCTGGTTTAAACATGTATCCGATGACCCCGCCCATCAACCAAGATGGCCGCCATGGCTAAAAATAGAACAGGGGGGGGGAGTAAAATGCAGTTTGGCTTATATCTCTGAAACTAAAGCATTTAGAGCAAATCTGACATGGGGTAAAAATGTTCATCAGGTCAAGATTTATCTGCCCTGAAATTTTCAGACGCATCAGAAAACCCGTTGTTGGGTTGCTGCCCCTAAATTGGTAATTTTAAAGAAAATTTACAGTTTTTGGTTATTATTTTGAATATCATAATAGATAGAGATAAACTGTAAACAGCAAAAATGTTCAGCAAAGTAAGCTCCACAAATAAGATCAAAATTGTCAATTGACCCCTTCATGATTTATTGCCCTTTAAAGTCAATTTTTTACAATTTTTCGTAAAGTTTTGTAATCTTTTACAAAAATCTTCTCCACTTAGTCTACTTGGTCAAATAGAATTAAACTTAGCCACAATTTTCAATAGGGTATCTTGATTTCGAAATGTATCCGATGACCCTGCCATCCAACCAACATGGCTGCCATGGCTAAAAATAAAACATAGGGGTTTACTACAGAAGTCTATGGGAAAATTGTAAAAAAAACAATTTAAAATGGTCACAACTTGAAAACTAATTTAAATAAATAATGATAAGGGGTCTTCAGTACCTATTGTAAGACTACAATGGGATGACCTGTTTTTAATTGAACTACTGGGCCAAATCCAAACTTGGTCTCAATCATTATTAGGGTACCTAATACTATTTATTATGATTCTAACCTTATTTTACATGACTTCCAAAACCACAGTAGATACAGGTGAGCGACACGGGCACTTGAGAGCCTCTAGTTTATAACGCTAAAATGGCTCAGTTTTAAAACGCCCTATCCATTGACGGTCACTAAATCAGGGTCCAATGTGAACCCAACTACTGATGTATTTTCGGTATTCCGAAAGACTACAAATTCAACAAACATATACCATCAGGGGTTCACGCAATAATGTAAAATAAAGATATGTGATCATGATTGCCATGCAATGAGACAACTATCCAACAAAATCCAAATGAAACAGATTTAAGCAACTATAGGTCATCATGACCAAGACCAAAATCTTCAGTTGGACTGTTTGAATAATCTCATTGCCAGGTATATATATATATATATAAGTTTTATTTGCAAAAATGCCAGGTCAGCAATACATGCACATAGAAGCGCCTTGTTATATAATTATCAACATGAAATTTTACTAGATTCTTGGAGCCTCTGATTAAACTAATACCTGTGGCATTGTGCTGTTATGATATTATCTGGCTTACCTAGTTGGTTGCATCTTTTTCATTGAACTTGCAATAAAGGACTTCGCCACAAAAAAGCTTAGGTCTGCGTCATACGAGATAACGAAAGTTGGTTGAGATTTAAACTTTACAATACTTATAAAAGTGATGATTTGAAGCAGAGGCAGATTTGCAAGGGGACAAGGGGCCTGGGCCCCAATTATGGAGCTACATGTATGGTTAATTCATAGACTTTTTACATGGCCCCCGCATAACGTTGCCTAGTTTCGACCCCTCCCCCCCCCCCTGAATCCGCCACTGACCGGGCAATACCGACATAAAAATTGGATGCGAACGAACCTAGGGACAACGTGTTATGGGACCGAACGGAGTCGATACCATAGGGGTTAAACGTCAATAAGACAGCAATCAAACAAGAAGAAACCACATAAGCACATTTACAGGCAACATATTGTGTTCAACATTAGACAGGTGTCTACACAATATGTCAAGTTCTAAATCGTCACGAGTTTATATAAAAATTGTGAATAAATTTAATAGAAACAATCAAAGATCGGCATTAAAACGCAATTCTCCAAAAAATGTAACAATTTAAGAGAAAGTCTGAAATATAAATAAAAGTCACTAGTAATATTTTAAAAGCTACAACCTTTTACAACGAAACTTTTTAGGCGTATTTTCCCCTTTATTTACTAAACAAGAAAGCTTACACAGGAGCCGTGGAGTATATCCTTTAATCTGCACTGTCGGGATGAGCCAAAAAAAAAAAAGATCGAAGAGGGTGCCATGATGTGAAATAAATTCAGTGGAAATTGTTGTCCTTACCTCTTCGCAATTTTGTTTCTAAAGTCTTCAAGACATATGAAAAATGTTGAAAAATGTATATACAAAATATTCCAATTTAACAATTTTCAGATGTTGACCTCGTGGGATAAACAAATACAGGAGATTTTATTTTTTTTTAGTTTTGATGATTGTTGTATCTTTGACGTATCACCCACATCTCTACATTCTTATCTCTGTGCATTTTCATCTTAATTTGTTCAAATATCAATGTTCAAATTTCATTGTCTGGACCTTTCTCCGGCACTACTGAGCATTTGTTATATGGAGTACAATCCATGTATTTAAATAGTAAAGACTTTCAACAAATATTCAATCGTGAGATGAATAACACGTATCATAATACATGACCGTTTATCGTTTCGTTCTTATTTTTAAATATAAAAAAGAAGATGTAGTATGATTGCTAACGAGACAACTCTCCACAAGAGACCAAATGACACAGAAATTAACAACTATAGGTCACCGTACGGCCTTCAACAATGAGCAAAGCCCATACCGCACAGTCAGCTATAAAAGGCCCCGAAATGACAATGTTAAACAATTCAAACGAGAAAACTAACGGCCTACATTTTTGTAATTTATGTACAAAAAATTAACGAAAAACAAATATGTAACACATAAACAAACGACAACCACTTAAAGTCTTTCAAGGGAGATAAAGTGTTTATTGGGACAAAATGGTAGGAGCTCAAATTATTTTAAAATAAAAGGATGTAACAACCGCAGAAGGGCTGGAATTGCATGACTTCTTAATGTTAGACTGACAATTGAACCTCTCGCAAGTCTACGACTTCCATTATCGTAACCCTCTGTACGTTCATCAATTTATTCAATTAATAATTTTCTGTAAAATTTTACATCTCAAAAACTCGCGGTGTAATGATTCCTTTATCTCTTGAAGTAATTCTTCTTTTAGATGTTCGCGTAAAGCTAAAGTAAAAATGCAGCCATTGTTACATGACATGACACATATTTCCCCGCTATTGGCAAACTTTCCGATTTACGACTGCTTATACCCAGTCGGGAATTTGCGACCAATATTTATCGTAAATCGTAAATCGTAAATATTTGTGAAACGGTCGCATATCGTAAACATGGTCGTACGACCTATTTCACGATCTACGACCTTTTGTGAAACGGTGGCCAGACAATATTCAGAATTCACCTACTATGACAGAAAATTAATAATCAGCTGAGTGCATTTTTTAGCTGTAGGCAACAATGGACTAATTAATAAAATTGTATTATTTCACCAAATTTGGTTAAATGACGTCACAGGTCACCTAAAGGATTTATTTACAAATTTGCAAAGCACGTGTTTGAAGCATAGTTTTACTTCTCCACGTTTTCTTTTTAACGATGGTCCGGAAAAGAAAACTGTTGTTATGACGAAAACTGTTCAAAAGCAAGAAAAATCTCCGACTTATAATCTTTTTCCTCTAACTTTGATAGAAATAATTGATTTGAAGTGGGTGCCAGTACTTTACAACCGTTTTGGCGACGCACGTGTTTCAAGCACGGGGGCTTGTTTAGTGGGTCAGACGAGGTTTTACTGTCAATGGCGGTCGCTATCCTATATGAAATTGGTATTCTATATAGGATAGCGACCTCCATTGACAGTAAAACCTCGTCTGACCCACTAAACAAGCCCCTGTGTTTCAAGCATAGTTTTACGTCTCGACATTTCTTTTTACAATGGTCCGGAAAAGAAAACCTTTGCTACGAAGAAATAAATGAATTTGTAAGAAAAATATCTGACTTTAGTCTTTATTCTGCTACTAGACTGGAAAATATATATCCGATAAACTTATTGAAGATGAATCTCGTGTTCCCAGAAGTCAAAAATTATGATTTCATGATCTATATTTCAATTTTACAGTATCTTTTGAAAAGTAAATGTTTAATGTTTAATGTTTTTCTTAACTAAGAAGCAAAATAACAATGGAGGATTAAGTCATTGCAGATTGTATGAACTGTACATAATAGCAAATGCAACTTATGATAGTTAATACTAAAGCGAGAAATGGGTATATGCACAATTTTCTGTATAATTATCATTTCTAAACCTCTATTACAGTGATACTCCTGAGCGACAATCTCACATTGTTTAGGTGTTAGCATATTTTACGTGTTGACTATGAAATGTAATTATAGGTAATTGTGCGCTAAACTATCAATTTACAACTTGCCTGTCAACACTAAGATTGTGAGTTCGGATTTTTTTTTTTTTTTTGTTGTTGTTGGTTATTGTGTTGTCTTTTGATGAAAACATATCTTTTCAAAATAAAGTACTCACATGTTACAAGTACGTGTACTTCAGCATTCCCCATCCCTACTGTGTTGTGAACGTTACATCGGTAAGTCCCTGTGTTTTTTCTGCTTAAATTGGTTAAATGTAAAGTGCCATTTAATGTAAATTCATCTGAAGATTCACTCAAAATAGTGTCATTATTAAATATCCAGGTTATACGGCTTGACGTAAGTTGTATATTCACATTTCAAAACAATGTCTTTCCCTTTAGCAGCTTCAATTACAGTAGAACCAATAGGTTGAATAGTTGTATATGGTAGCTCTATAGAAATTAACCAAACCGATAATAAACGTGTATATATGCAATTGAATCTATATTACAAAATTTTTATAAAAAAATGATAGATTGGTGTTTGCTTAACGTCAAAAGGAAAATATTACATTCATCTCTATGATGATATAATAAATTATACAACGTTCACTTAGAACTACAAATGTTTATCTATGCATACAGGTGGTTTTATCAACAAGATTGTTTTGGATAAAGTTGTAAAGTGTGGCATCTTCCTGCAATGCTTATTCGCAGTCAGTCAGAATGTCACCATCGGAAAGAGGACACAACCAGAAAAAAATTACAGATCAGACGACTACTAGTATACTGCTATCTTAAAATCAATCTAAGACCGCAAAAACATGTCGCTAGCGAGTTGAGACAACGAGATATTGTATCGGTCGACCAATTCCTGATGATCACTGTAAAATTTCTGTAGTGTTGATTTCAGTTGTTTTTCCTCATAACTCTATTAGAGCAGCTATAGTACAAGAACACACAAAGTAATTACCTTACTGTCAGTGTTATAGTTAAACTAACACTGTACAAATTAGATTTACTAGAATTACTAGTAGAATGAATAGAAAGACAAGGAATTAAACGATGAAGATTAGTTTAATAACAAATATATTAGCCACAGTGTCTCTGTTTCTAGATAAACTTGCACATTGTACATATACAGGCTATTTGTTTTCATTGTGTAGACATAAACAACCAAGGACAAATTGGTAAAAACAAAAAAAACGCTGCTAACACAATAAAATTATTCAATTGCAATTTTTGATTGTTCTGTTCTTTTTGTTGGATTTTTGGCACACACAAAGATGTAAGAAAATCGCAATGACACGACACATTTGAGAAAATATAACTCAAACATCCATTAACTTGTACGATTCGCTCGTGTATGTAACAATGTTTTAGATTTTAACGAGAGAAATTTATGTATTACTGAAAAATTATTACACCAGGGTTTTCGATATCACAAACTAGTCAAAACATTTACTAAATTTTATCATCGGTATAAGGACATCATTCGTAAATATAGCTCAGCATGCAGACTTCTTATACGTTCAGGTATTTCACATCCAATTTTTTATGGAAATATTCTTTATAAAGCACAAAAATGTCAGTATTCACCTCTGAAACTAACAAAACCTTTAAATAGACTTATCAAGAAGGGATATAGTTACGATACTGTTGTCAGGTCATTAAAGATTGCATATTTTGGCGTTAATATTGATTCACTTATAGGGTCTTTGCATCGGCACTAAACACATTTATTTAAAAACCAGTTGTTGGCATGACACGGGTTATGTTCTTCTCATATATGTTATGATGGTATGATACTAAACCCCTAACGGGAAGGATTGTGCCTGATATTCATATGATGAAGACATAATCTTTCAATCAGTTTAATTGAAGTCTGGAGCTGGCATGTCAGTTAACTGCTAGTAGTCTGTTGTTATTTATGTATTATTGTCATTTTGTTTATTTTCTTTGGTTACATCTTCTGACATCAGACTCGGACTTCTCTTGAACTGAATTTTAATGTGCGTATTGTTATGCGTTTACTTTTCTACATTGGCTAGAGGTATAGGGGGAGGGTTGAGATCTCATAAACATGTTTAACCCCGCCGCATTTTTGCGCCTGTCCCAAGTCAGGAGCCTCTAGCCTTTGTTAGTCTTGTATTATTTTTAATTTTAGTTTCTTGTGTACAATTTGGAGTTTAGTATGGCGTTCATTATCACTGAACTAGTATATATATTTGTTTAGGGGCCAGCTGAAGGACGCCTCCGGGTGCGGGAATTTCTCGCTGCATTGAAGACCTGTTGGTGACCTTCTGCTGTTGTCTGTTCTATGGTCGGGTTGTTGTCTCTTTGACACATTCCCCATTTCCATTCTCAATTTTATTTACTCAAAATAAAATAATTTTTATCAGCTCCAACACAAGCGAGAAATGCAAGCTAAATGTCACGTTTATCGTAGTTTCTGAATGTCGTACAAATGATTGTGAAAGTCAACAATACATGTATGGTCTCTGAACACAAGCGTTTTAATAGTTTACCTTTCACGTAAATTTGGACTTGGTATTCAACTGTAGCTTCTGTGTTACTATTGTTAGTTAAACAAACATAGATTTGTAAATGGTCGGCAACCACAGGAACAAATTCATACTCAAGAAATTTAGGTCCTCCAAAAACCAGTATTGAGTCATTATGTACCCACATCATATTTTCAGCAGGGTTACCGCTCTCTACAGTACATGATAGCAGGCTACTTTGACCCTCATTTACTTCTAGAAGTCCATCTGTCGAAGTATTCATCACTGATATATTGCTTGGTGACCCTGCTATAACAAAGAATTAGTATGTTAACTTTTCGCCACGAAACAAATTGAATTCTTGTGATACAGGTATGTAGTTAAACCAAGAGAAATTGAGTCATTTTACTTACTTCCTTAGTGGTGTTACAGTTTTTAAAACACTTAATGAATTGGTGCGTCCGTTTGGCTGTGCAAAATGTGGAAATTGACAGCCATGTTCTGTAAGATTGAGACGTCTAATACAATATCCCGTGTAGAGAAAGTTACGTGCTTTCTGTACGTTAATAAACCTTGCAACAACTCTCTGATATCACTAACTAGCAAAGCCTTTATTTCCGATTGCAGCCGATATTTCCAGCCCTTCATTCCGCTTGACCCACATTTTATAAACTGATTGTATTAATTGTTTATGTGTTCCCGTAGTGAATGTGCGAAAAAAAATGTTTGCCACTGGGCTTAAAGCAAACAGCAACCAATCAATCAATGAAATCGTGAGAAAATTTGTTACTAATTTACGTGTAGTATATTGAATCAACTGTAACAAATATTTTAAGAAATGTAAATTGTACAAAAATTTAAAAGAACAAGACTATAGATATTAGAAGATGTGGTATGAGTGCCAATGAGACAACTCTCCATCCAAGTCACAATTTGAAAAAAAGTAAACCCTCATAGGTCAAAGTACGGCCTTCAACACGGAGCCTTGGCTCGCACCGAACAGCAAGCTATAAAGGTCCAAAAAAATGACAAGTGTAAAACCATTCAAACAGGAAAACCAACGGTCTAATCTATATAAAAAACGAGAAACACTTATGAACCACAACAACAAACGACAACAAAAGGTTCCTGACTTAGGACAGGTGCAAACAAATGCAGCGGGTTTAAACATTTTAACAGGCGCCAACCTTCACCCTAACCTGAAACAGTGGTAAAACATTGCAAAATAGAAAGACACATTCGTTTGGGTTAGGTTTCAAATCGCCGAATGATTCATAATTTCATAGATTTAGCATCTAGCAAAACTATCTCCATCCCACTTTCCTTTGTGATATGTTTTTAGGTATAATTGAACTGAACAGTATAAAATAAAAACGATGATGTTTCTTTTTTTTATTGCGAAAATACGCCTATATGCCACGTGCCTTTGTCATTTTATTTTGAAATCACCAAATGAGACACAAGACCGATTTTTTACTGTTTTTGCAACACTTCAAATGCCACTATCGCAACAGGATCTACCTTCCTTTGCGAAGCACCTGAGAACAAAACCTAGTTCTGTTTTAAAGGGATTCATGTTTATTTTACTTTAGTGTTCAGCACTGTATGGCTTCCATTTTTCTGTTGCCAATTTAAATGGTAATACATTTTTATCAATTACCAAAATATCAAATAAAAAAACTGATAAATTTTAGGAAATATAAAGCAATAAATTATTAATTATAGATTTACTGTAAATTTCTAAATAATAGTCGACATGTACGGCTGTGGAACCATTAATGTTATTACAACGGTAGTGTCCTTCATCTGCAGCTGAAAAGTTGTTGATTTCCAAATTGTATTCTCCAATTCTATTGTTTCCAGTAATACGTAGTTTTTCATAATTAGTCAGTGTATTCTTTAGATGTGACCCATCACTGTAAGCTGTTTGAGATTTTGGTCCAACCCATTGTGCTTTGTGAATTGTTGATTTGAATGGACAAATTAGTGTCGTGTTTGATCCCTCTTTTATATACAAAGTGTCAGCATTTGTGTAAGTATAAAGCAGACAGAACACTTGAAAAAAAGAAAAAAAACATGGTAAATGACGGTAACAATTGTTAAACTTTGTTAATCAACTTATGACACTGATACGCTTGGGCTGTCAAGGTTGAAATTACTTGGTAGTTCTTATTCAAGTTATTAACATTAGCGAGCATTATGTAAAATAAAGAAATTAACGAGTAATATGCTTTGTGGACTTTTCGTCAAAACGTTTTTCTTCCGTAATTAGCAAGTATTAAAGGACATGTATCTTGAAAATAAGAACTTCGCTATCAATATCTCAACTTATCCTCTCTTGCGATGAAAAGACGAGACTGATGTAAACATTAACATGATAAAAGCAGTGTTTCGGTATTCTTTTTGATCTGTTATTATCGTATTTTAAGTTTGGGTGAACGCGACTGTTGAGAAGTCTCATTAAATCTTTTTTTTTTTGCTTCTATCAAACATTTTTGATGTTGGTATTGGGCATTTTTCGTGTGAATACATTTTTTATTATCAAACCTACCATTTTCGTGTGTAAATAGGATTTTTCTGTTTGCACAAAACATTTTGCCGTTATATTTATAAAAATGAACAATTTGTTTCTATCGAAGAAAACTCTTACCTTGTGTGACAAAAATGACTCTTTGGATAAGCATGATGCCTCCTATTATTAAAATAATTTACAAATGTAAAACAACATAAAACATATATTATTACATTAAAACAAGTATATTATATTCAATATTTATCAGATCATAAGAAAAAGAGGGATTATGGATTTGAAGTACACTACATACAAGACAAAATAACGTCAAACTGATGGGAAAAGAGCTGTAATGAGACCTCTAAGTTAACTTGTCAGAAATATTTCATGTGTTTAAAAGTCCTAAGTAAGTCAGATATTGTTTTTTTCTGTATAATAGTTTAACCATTTATATGTTTAAGACTGGTAAAAGCAGTTGTAAAACGGGCTCATGTTATTTGGATTGATATATATGGGTAATATATGCACGTGAAATTCTTTTTCGGTTAAAAGGATTGAGTTTTGGTTATTCTAAAGAAAAACATTTTTGAGCTGTCTGTTCACCGAAGGTGCCCACAGTTACTATTATAACATAATGTTTGCATTTTTCTTGTCAGATATATGAATAAATGAGTCATATAGAGCCCAAACCCTAAAATATAAGATTATAATGTTGATTGCAAGAGAAAAGAACAATTTACTGCGAACAACCAAATCTATATTATAGTTTTGTGTTATTTATACTAAGTAATTTATTAGAAAAATGCTTTTAATTCGGATGAGCATGAAGAGCGATGTGGTGATAAATTTAATGTTCAACTATGGAAATTAAGGGCATTGCACTCATATTACAATTGTGTAACTAGTATATCAAAACATTTATATCGAGACAAGTTTATTAAATAAATTGTTTAATGAATGTATTTCTGACTTAACACAAGCCCCTTACACATGAAAACGTCAAACAGATGTTCCAGGTTCTACAGCTTTCCAAACCTCCTATTTGAATAACTGAAGTATAAAGTTCCCAAAAACTAGGCAAATGTGTAATAAAATTTTAATGTTGTCTTACATAAAAATGTAAGTAGTCCATTGTTCTGCTATATTCCTTTTTGATTTGTATATTGTTATTAAATCATTTAACCTAAAACAATATTCAACATAATAAACATAGTTAAGAAAGGGTGGATAATGCAAGGGACAAAATAAGATAATAAAATACAATACCTATTCCTTTCGTTCGGGAATTATTGACGGATGGGAATTAGAAATGTGTCAAATAGACAACAACCCGACTAAACAGCAGAAACCAGCCCAAGGCCACTAATGGGTCTTCAACACATCGAGAAAATCCCGCATCTGAAGGTGAGCTACAGCTGACCCCTAAAAAATAATGTATACTACTTCAGCGAAATGGACACCACACTAAATCCGAAACATACAAATGCACCAAAATTTAAAAGAAAGACACAAGACTAAGAAAGGCTATATGCTCCTGACTTGGGACAGGCGCAAAAAAATGGTGAGGTTAAACATGATTTGTGAGATCTCAATCCTCCCATTTACCTCTAACCAATGTGGAATAAAAAAAAACACACAGCAATACGCACAGTAAAACCCAGTTTAAAAGAAGTCCTAGTCCGATGCTAGAATAGGTAACAGAAGAAACTAAGCAAAATGACAATGTTCAACATAAATTAACAATGGACTACTAGCAGTTATTGACATTCCAGCTCCAGACATCAGTTAAACTGATCGAAAGATTATGTTTTATCTTATGAAATCAACAACCATCCTTGTATGTTGAACTCAAAACGTCTTGAATCCAGCATATTTCCATGTGGCCTCATGTGCTCGTCTCACTGAGAACAATTGAACTAAACTTTGGTTCTTTTTTTACATAGAATAACTTATCTAGAAATGCATATGTTTTAATTGTATATTTTATTGATTAAAAAATAGATGAAATTAACCAAAAGTAAAACGAGTACTTACATTCAAATGTCAATTAATCTAATACTTACCGTTAATGTTTACCAAAAAGATACGTTGTCATTGTAAATTTCCGTAATCAACTATTCTTTTTCCGGTAATTGTTACAAATATGTGCTATTAGTTCCAGTCACACAAAAACATCCTTCTCATACTAATGAATAATTGTTAATTACTCAACTATTTTCCGCTAACGTTTGGCTTATTTGATGTATTTGTCTGTTGTAAATTTGTCATTTTTAGTATTGTATTTGTTCTGATTATTATTATTATTATTATTATTTTTTTTTTTTTTTCTTCCGCCAAATTTTGTTCTTGCGATAAATATTTGTTTCGCAATATGTCGCTTAGATATTTCTCATATTGTATCGTATAGTTTATGCGCTTTTAAATTTTACCCTGCTAAGCCGAACAATTATCTTTGTAAGAGTTATCTCCCTATTCACTGTTTATCAAGTGTGTGCATATCCTTCGTAACAAAAAAAGATATCGACAAAATTCTTTTTCTAAATTGTTCGTTACATCCTCAGGAATTTTTGGCTAATTTGGATCGAAGCGATTCGATGAAATTTTATAGGAGTTATCTACCTTTATCAAATAAATTTGTCGTTATGTTTTTGTTACTCATAAACTGTAAGCCGTATAAACCTATAGTCTTTTTATTTAAGGTCCTTGGATCCTAACTTCGAAAATGAGGCCAAGGTCAAAGGTCAAGGTCATGTTCTGAATTTTGTCTTTTGCTTGTTTTTGCATTTTCTCCGATATTTTTAATGTTATATATTAAAGAACAAGTGCAAAATGTTTGTTATATTGTGATGAAGATATAATACATTTGGTCTGAGACAATCCAGCGACATCTTATTGGAGTTATTGCCCCTGAAATGTTTTATTTTAAGGTAAATTGATTATTACTTCATATTGGTACATGATAAAGCCATAAGATCTTTTGCAAAATGTTGGGTGACATATGACCTTGAAAAATGTCAACCGGAAGTGACCTTGAGTGAACCGGGAGTAGTCATTTTTGCACTTATTTCATGTAGAAGTACATAGAAACCATATATTTTTTGAATGGTCATACATTAATCTATCATTTGAGACCGGAAGTGATATTTTATAAACCGGAAGTAGCATATTATCTCCCTTATTACAGGCATAAGTATATATAAACCATATATTTTTGGAATCAGTGTAAATAAAGCTATCAAATGAGACCGAAAGTGACATTTTCTAAACCGGAAGTAGCCAATTATCTCCCTTTTAACAGGCAAAAGTATATATAAACCATATATTTTTGGAATCAGTGTAAATAAATATATCATATGAGACCGGAAGTGACATTTTCTAAACCGGAAGTAGCCAATTATCTCCCTTTTTACAGGCAAAAGTATATGTAAACCATATATTTTTGGAATCAGTGTAAATAAAGCTATCATATGAGACCGGAAGTGACATTTTCTAAACCGGATGTTGACAATTATCTCCCTTATTTCAGGCAAAAGTCTATAGAAACCATATGTTTATTGAATCAGTATGAAGAAACCTATGATTGGACGCCAATAGTTGCTTTGAGTAAACCAGAATTAGCTTCTCATCAATTATTTAGAAAATTGATGTGGAAAGACCTTCAATTGTTCTTTGAACAATTGGTTTTTAATTAGGTCTTTCCACTTTTCTGTGGAAAGACCTATTGTATTTGTTCTGATTATTATTATTATTATTTTTTTTTTTTTTCTTCCGCCAAATTTTGTTCTTGCGATAAATGTTTGTTTCGCAATATGTCGCTTAGATATTTCTCATATTGTATCGTATAGTTTATGCGCTTTTAAATTTCACCCTGCTAAGCCGAACCATTTTCTTTGTAAGAGTTATCTCCCTATTCACTGTTTATCATCTGTGTGCATCTCCATCGTAACAAAAAAAGATATCGACAAAATTCTTTTTACAAATTGTTCGTTACATCCTCAGAAATTTTTGGCTAATTTGGATCGAAGCGATTCGATGAAATTTTATAGGAGTTATCTACCTTTATCAAATAAATTTGTCGATATGTTTTTGTAACTCATAAACTGTAAGCCGTATAAACCTATAGTCTTTTTATTTAAGGTCCTTGGATCCTAACTTCGAAAATGAGGTCAAGGTCAAAGGTCAAGGTCATGTTCTGAATTTTGTCTTTTGCTTGTTTTTGTATTTTCTCCGATATTTTTAATGTTATATATTAAAGAAAAAGTGCAAAATGTTTGTTATATTGTGATGAAGATATGATACATTTGGTCTGAGACAATCCAGCGACATCTTATTGGAGTTATTGCCCCTGAAATGTTTTATTTTAAGGTAAATTGATTATTACTTCATATTGGTACATGATAAAGCCATAAGATCTTTTGCAAAATGTTGGGTGACATATGACCTTGAAAAATGTCAAACGGAAGTGACCTTGAGTGAACCGGAAGTAGTCATTTTTGCACTTATTTCATGTAGAAGTACATAGAAACCATATATTTTTTGAATGGTCATACATTAAAATATCATTTGAGACCGGAAGTGATATTTAATAAACCGGAAGTAGCATATTATCTCCCTTTTTACAGGCAAAAGTATATATAAACCATATATTTTTGGAATCAGTGTAAATAAAGCTATCATATGAGACCGAAAGTGACATTTTCTTAACCGGAAGTAGCCAATTATCTCCCTTTTTACAGGCAAAAGTATATATAAACCATATATTTTTGGAATCAGTGTAAATAAATCTATCATATGAGACCGGAAGTGACATTTTCTGAACCGGAAGTAGCCAATTATCTCCCTTTTTACAGGCAAAAGTATATATAAACCTTATATTTTTGGAATCAGTGTAAATAAAGCTATCACATGAGACCGAAAGTGACATTTTCTAAACCGGATGTTGACAATTATCTCCCTTATTTCAGGCAAAAGTCTATAGAAACCATGTTTATTGAATCAGTATGAAGAAACCTATGATTGGACGCCAATAGTAGCTTTGAGTAAACCAGAATTATCTTCTCATCAATTATTTAGAAAATTGATGTGGAAAGACCTTCAATTGTTCTTTGAACAATTGGTTTTTAATTATTATTATTTTTTTTTTTTTTTCTTCCGCCAAATTTTGTTCTTGCGATAAATGTTTGTTTCGCAATATGTCGCTTAGATATTTCTCATATTGTATCGCATAGTTTATGCGCTTTTAAATTTCACCCTGCTAAGACGAACCATTTTCTTTGCAAGAGTTATCTCCCTATTCACTGTTTATCATCTGTGTGCATCTCCTTCGTAACAAAAAAAGATATCGACAACATTCTTTTTCTAAATTGTTTGTTACATCCTCAGGAATGTTTGCCTAATTTGGATCGAAGCGATCCAGTGAGATCTTAAAGGAGTTATCTGCCTTTACCAAATTAATTTGTCGTTATGTTTTTGTAACACGTAAGCCGTAAGCCGTATAAAAATATTTGACCAAAATATTAGTCGCGACATGATATAACTGGAAAGTTTCTGTCAAAATGGTACGTGTCATTGTTTTAGGGGTTCCATGCCACTGAAATAGTAAAATGAACAAAATGAACTAATTATAGCCTCAAACTTTGCAGCTATCATGATGTATACATGCATCTTATCTTAATTTATCAACCAAGGTCCACCATCCTCCACCTCTAGCCCCCCCTTTATTTCTTCTACTTTGAGGAATCCCATTTCGCCTTGAAGTTCAGTCCTGTACATTTGACTGTAAAAATTCAATCCTTCTGATGTACAAACTTCTTGTATAGAAATTCATTCCTGCAAAAATCGGCTCCAATTCATGTTCCCGTTAGACGCGGTCCGCTTGATTGAAAAATAAAATTCAATGACGTAGAAAAATCGTAAATATTGCTGAAATCCTACAATCAAATTTTTAAATCATGCATTGAAATACAAATCTGTGCTCCCGTAAACATGTGTACGTAAGATGCATGCATGATCCGTCATCAATGACCTGTAAATAATAAAACCAAAAGTGATCATCTCAGGCGTCCGTTTGGCTGTGTGGGATGTACAAGGTACGCAGTCACGTTCGGTTAGAATAGGCGTTATTTAAGTTAGCTGCGTCGCACAGAAAAAGTGCCATGCATGCAATCAATCAATCAATCGACCGACCGACCGACCGACCGACCGACCGACCGACCGACCGACCGACCGACCGACCGACCGACCGACCAACCAACCAACCAACCAACCAACCAACCAACCAAGCAAAAAACCAATTTATCATGTTTCGGAGGGGAAAGACCGTTTAACAATTGTTTTTAAAACAATTGATTTATATTTATAATTGTTCTTCTGTAAGGTTAAGGTACAGTAAATGGGCTATGTCACAGATTTTTGTATAAATTTTGCACATAAGGTACACATTTGGCTCGACGACTTTACATTGAAAATCGAAAAAAATAATGCATTTATCATTTTTTTTTTCTGAAATATCACTGAATTATTTTTTTTCAAAAAAGATGCCCATTTGTATAGAAAGCATATAAAATCGGCAAAAAATATTCTTAAATTTGTCTTGAAATCATCAAAACAACATATGTTGTATACCTCTGTATAGATTTTTTTAAAATTGATATATCTTGTTGATACAAAAACTTCCGTTTAAATGATGTTAAATAAAAAAGAAGTTCACCGACTTTGTCTATACGATAAAAAGCATCATGTCATTGCATTGTAAGCCGTAAAAAATCTTTGTGTGTGTGTGTGTGTTTAATAACCAAAAAGGTAACAGATTGGTCAAAGTCAGTGGCCAATGTATATTTATTTCAATCAAACAGACATTTAGGTATCAACAACATATTATTTTGTTGAAATCTTTTAACTTGTACTTGCAATTGGCGAGTTGATGATTTTAAGACAAATTTTAGAACGTTTTCGCCGCTGTTATCGCTTTCTATACAAATATGAATCTATTTTGAAAGAATTCATTTAGCTTTATTTCGGAAAATAAGTGATAATAGCATTATTTTTTCGATTTTCATTTAACGAGTCTTAGTTGTATACAAACTGCTTAAACTTCTGGAGCAGTCGAGACCACCACCGCCTTTTTGATAGGGCTCATGTTATTCAGTCTTTTTTTCAATGTTGTGTTTTGAAGACTGTTGTTTGTCTTTTTTTATGTAATTGTAGCATACTTAACCTATACATCATATTAAAAGATTACAGCATTATCAGATATAAACATGCAAATTCCAAATGTCATATGTGTGTCACTTTAAGCCAATGATACCTTGCTAAGACATAAAATATATTAGGGACCTTTTGTCAGAAACGAGACGATTACAGTCACTGTCTACTGATGCGTGACAATTTTACAAAAACAAAAGATGTTTAAGAAAGAAGAAGAAAGAATTTACTTCTTTAAAACATTAAGTTATGCTGATTTAACAAATCTTTGTGGGAAAAATTAGTTGCATCAACGCACGGAAAATATCAAATCTAAATTGCGTATATTCATTTAATGGTGTGTTAACAAATACAAATATGTCAAAGAACAAAGAAAATAGGCAAAACATATAAACTTAAAAATAATATATATTAATTAACATGAGTAATATAATTTACTTATTTTGTCACACTAATATGCGTCATGAATATATACAAATATGTAGATGAGATATGATTGCCAGTGAGATAGCTATCCTCCATATACCAAAATGACGTACCCCATGTATACCCGAATACCAAAAATACTTCACTAAGTAAACGACAAATCATACAATCAGTTTAAATATTTCTATAATTTGTTTTTATCTATAATCATCATTGTTTTATTAGAAAGTTTAAAGGTTGATAATTGCATCCCCATGTTGTTAAATAGGTAACAATTGAACTATCCCACGAAATATAAAAACTAAGATAACCTTTCATAAATATATAAAACATGTGAAAACCACATTTATGTAGTTTGTTTTATGTCAAATTTGTTGAGATATATATTCCCTGTATTTTACGGGATAGAAATTTTTTATCTTGTCTTGGCATAATTATTTTTTCTTCGTTTTAACCAGGCCTAGGTATTGAATTTAATAAAAATAAATTTGCTTGCATCCCAACCTCTATCCCCCTCCCTTTGAAAATATCGGCCCGTACCTTTAATGATACTGATATTTAAATGATAAATGTAATTTTGTGTTTTACTTTTGTCAAATATGTCATCACATTTATTTTCGATCATCATTGAAGAAACATTTATTGTCGATATTCTTAATTTGAAATGTATCAATAATAAAAATACATGGACATTTTTTCCGTCCTCAGGATGACTGTTCTTGTTGTGGCTTCAAAAGTATTCTCACATCTGTTTCTTTCAAAAATGGTTCTTTGTTCCATGGTATCTCGTTACGAGTTTTGCCAGGATATCCAAGGTAGAGTTCGGTGATGGACTTAATGTAGCCTTTTTGTCTAATTATCATGGATATCATTATAACAAAAACCATAACTAAAATCATGATAACAGCACTTACCAGTGCTATTAGCACGTAATCGTTTAGGAAGTTCCTATCCTTCTGTGGAACTGAAAATTAAAAGGACAATTTCACCAATGTTTTGCCTTCTCCTTCTTTTCTATCAATGCGTGAAATGTTTTATTTGAAGCAGTATTGTGTAGAAGGTGTAATTAATTTCATTGAAATGTCACTACATTTACCTACTGCTCAAATACTTTTCAATCATTACATGTAGAACATATAAGGATGTAAAAATTGCACATTTTATAGAAGTGATATTTGAAAATTGCCAAAAGATACTAATCACGTCTTTTTTAATAGTTTAACAATGCATTATGTATAACATACTTATGACTTGTAAATACGACAAGAGGGGAATTGGGTTGACTAGTTAAATAAAGGCAACAGTAGTATACCGGTGTTCAAAAGTCATAAATCGATTGAGGGAAAACAAATCCGGGTTACAAACTAAAACCGAGGGAAACACATCAACTATAAGTGGAAAACAAAGGAACAACAGGAACACTGAAGTGCAACAAAAACAAACGCTAACATACATAGAAACGAACTATTTGATAACAACTGCCATATTCCTGACTTGGTACAGGACATTTTAAGAAAAAACGGTGGGTTGAACCTGGTTTAATGGCTAGCCAAACCTCCCGCTTTATGACAATGTTAAAAATGACAACACTACGTGACAGAAATACAGCACAAACACACGCAAGAACATTCATCACAGAGAAACGCACAAACAAATAATATAATAGTCGACACAACATGCAAATCGCAATACAACAACGAACATATTCCATCAACGACAAACACTACAAGATATCACAAACAATGACGCGCTTACGTAACTAACATGCAATCTCGAACTTTATACAATTATTTTCACAATACTCGTCCAAAACAATTTTCATGACAATGATGGTATTGAAAGGCAATTTTATAATTATTTGGACTACAAACGATAAGACATAACACACTATCCAACCGAAACCATCAAACATCAAAAATAAATACATGAATGTTGGATGTACAAAATACCGAGACACGTCGTATAGCAATGCAAATTCACACTCGGCACAACAGTCATATTCTGGAATATGACAATGATGGTATTGAAAGGCAATTTTATAATTTTTTGGACAACAAACGATAAGGCATAAAACATTATTCAACCGAAACCATAACAAAAACTTAAAAAATAAATACATGAATGTTGGATGTACAAAATACCGAGACACCTCGTATAGCAATGCAAATTCACACTCGGTATAACAGTAATATTCGGGAATAGGTCACGTTCGGTACTTAGCAGACAGACGACATAGATGTTAAACCACAATCTAAGACGTGGTAAAAATGTCATTAGTTTAGACACAGACACATCGTACAGATCAACCAATTCGTGATGGTGTCCATAAAATTTACGGAGTGTCATTTTTAATCTTTCCTCCTCATAACTCTGTTGGAGCAGTTTCTGCGTAAGGAGCACACTCCTGTATATGATGTCAGTATAGTGTGAACATGCTCGAGCATAACGTATCTATAAAATATCGAGTCACATATCATTTTCAAAATTATAGTACATTGGAATTTTCTCATTAACGTCGTGATAATGGTTTGAAAAATAATTGCTTTCTACTCCAACGTAGATGGGTCTAACAAGATTTGTTACAACTTTTTGTAAAGTTTGGTGTTCGACGCTCTTCATCTTTGTTATTATTTGACTTTGCGTTGTTTTTTTATTCATGTGACACTGATCAGCTATATGAGGTCCTGTATAGACGAACGTGTGTCTAAGATTGCAAAAAAAAAAAATTATTGCCCTTAGTTAATTGGTTGTAACAGTAAGTATGATAGATTACTTTTGATCTGCTTCATCTATCCTACTCTTTACTTTAAATTTCGGTTGTGCCAAAACGGACGCAAAAATCAGTCTAAAATACCTTTCCCATTACTTTTGTGTCAATTATTCAGGTAGTTGTTTTCTTTGATTGTCTTTTCCTTTGCTCACTATTTTCTTACACCCCTTTTTATGTGTAGTAACGACTTGAGATAAGAAAGCGATGTCATTTAACTAACGATAAGTCTCTTTATTTTGTATTATAGATATATAAAAATCTGACAGATCAATGTTTCAAAAGATTCTGCAGATATGATATGTATTCACTTGTAACGTAGATATTATCAAAACGTTATGAACATACATACCGGTGACTGGGCATGTGTTAAAATGTTAACTCTGAACTTCGATGTGTTTTGTTCCAATCTGACAGGAAATCAACATTTCACCGGTACAGTCTTCCTTTCTTAAGGTGTGTTTTAGACTAATGTCGACCGAATATAATTTCCCATTTTTCTTTTTTGACATTTTTGCCAGTTTTCCATAGTTGACATCCTATCAAATGAAATATATAGACTTTCAATAATCGTTAATCAATATGGACTAGTATATATGCTTTACATAAAAGTTCATCATCATCGTTATTACTGATGGTTCTGTACTGTCTTGCATTGTGCTGTTATTTGATAATGTGAAGAAGTACATTCGGTGTCGTTATTTTTAAGGATTAACTATGGACATAAATAGGTTACAAAGGTGTTTTTTTTTAATCCTACCTCATGGAAAAATTGGCCTTAACCAGATATTGAACAATGTTTTTAATTTTTGATTTTCAATGCTCTAAATCTTTGAAACTGACTGGGTTTTCGAATATTTTTTATTTGAACACCAATGATGAATCTGGTGTACACGAAACGTGATGAACTGAATTAAAAGCCAGATATTCTTGATGAGTTATTTCGTGTTAAGAAGTTGTATATTTGTCATGCTGACAGATCTAACAACGATTTATTTATTTATTCAAAACCATAAGGTGTATCTGTACTAAATTTCATCTTCATTTATTTACATATTTTGTAAAAGTAAAAATTTATTTTGTACCATGAGCAACGTCTATACAAATAGTGCAACTAGTGGAGCAGGATCTGCTGTAGGTTATTTTATGTGAACTTTTTGTCTTTTCGTGGTCTTTCGTTTTTGTTTGTTTGTTTTTTTTTTGGGGTGGAGGGAACGGGGTATTTTTTTTTCATGGCTTTGGTCACTTTATTTGATTTTATTAGTTTTTAATGTCCCTTTGGTGTCTTCCGTCCCTTTTTGATAAGGTTCAGATTTCTTGGTCATTAGAACATGAATAGATATCTGTTCTATTAGCTTACACATTATATTAGATTATTTGTAGGGAGCATTTTTCTTTCCAAAGTTAATTAAGAGACCGTCTACCCAATCCACTTTTGTGTTGTTTTTTGTTTTTTGTTTTTTGTTTTTTGTTTTGTTTTTTGTTTTTTTTTTAATATTTGGGTTTTTATTGAGGTTTTTTGGTGGGATGTTGTTTTTTTAAAGATCAGCACTATAAACTCTTGCAAGATCAAATTAACCTCAAACATGTCAAACATTGGAAGATATTTCATCTTTGTGAGCTTTCGGTGAGATTCAAACTTAAAAAAAAAGAATTGGCCACGCTCTGTTGTGTCGTTGATGCAACTTTTAATGTAAATTTTCCAAAATGCATTGGAAAACGTTTAGTATTAATATACCTAAAATATGATTTCACATACTGGTGTGGGCCATACTTTAGCAAAATGAACGTTTACACTGAAATGTCCATGCTGTAAGCTTGCAGTTACTGTAGTAGTTTCTTTTGGTGGAATATCTATTAAAAATATGTCATTTATACTGTAAACAGTGTAACAACATTAATAAATCTAGAAAATGTGCCAATTTGGCATTCTTAACCTTAATCTAACTTATTAAGCATTAAAAGATGAACTTAAATTAAAATCTTTTTCTAAATTATGAAATGGCGTTGGTAAAGAGCGAAGAATAGCTAGAGTAAATGAAAATTCTGTAAAAAAAATTACATTCATAGTCCTCCTCGTTGAGCTGATGTGTTTTTCGTGTTTCATCTACAATGATACATTTATATTCACAGTCTACCTCAGTCTCTGAAAATTGTTTTATAACAAGGATGTATTGAGACTTATCTTTTCCAAGTACTTCATAATATTTCGAAAGGTCTGCAGAGACAGCATTCATGTACAATACTTTATTAAAAGGTCAGCCTGACCAGCTTCTACTGTGAGGTTTATCAAGTGGAATTTCAGTTTCATTGGCGGTGCACGCAAGTCGCACATTTTCTCCAAAGACCACAGGTTTTGTTAACAGTTCCAAGTCAGCTGTAATTATTGAGATAATTAAGTAAAAGAGAGACACACACTAAGAAGTCTCTTATACACACATCTATATTTATATAGAGTGTGTGAAAGAAAGCATCATTTAAAGTGTTCATTGTGATAAGCCTACAAGCACAGTCAATGCTGCTATATAAAACACTTCGATATTCATCGGTATATATATTAAGTTATCATGAGCTTCACAAGTAAAGGTTTTGTTCAAAGCTAGACTTTTAGCCAGTTTACATTTGTTAACTCTTTTAGCTTTCCTTATAATAATATATTGCTAGCTATGAATAGTTTTCTTTTTCTTCCGTGGTTGTGTGAACTGGTCATTACAAACTTTTCCATAACACCTTTCACATTTTTAAAATCCGATGTTTGCAGAAACAAATTATTGAAACGTTTTAGTGGTTTAATTTCTACCATTTTTAAGAAGTCTGAAGCTGTCACTAAGAAGTTAAATATGCAGTCATACAAAAGTCAATGCATTGATGTGTAGCCTAAAATTTAATGATGATTTGCAGAAAATTTTCATAATCTCCACTTTCTGTTTTCCTCCGTCTATATTTACCTTAAAAACACTGTTGTAAATAAACTTAATCTGTTAGTCCCCAAGAGTATCACCGAACTGGTATTAACAGCCCTTTATCTCAGGACATTTGTACTTCCATGAAAGTAAATATAGTGATTTTTTTAAATATTTTGTTATAAAACTTGTGAAATCATTTAAACTTTAGAAATACACCTCGCTCATGCATAACTGTGATTTCTTGTACGTGTTTAGTTCAACGTTTGGTCTTTTTCGATTATAAATGCCATCAACGTTGTTTATAGGTTTTGGATTTTCAAATATTTTGGCCTCGAGTATCGCTGAAGTGACATTATTTGTCGAGATGTGCATCGTTTGTTATAAAATTTGTATCGTTTCATGTTTTGTATTTTGTATGTTTTACTATGATCAATGTGTACACTATTATAACGTGAAATGATATTTCTTACCTTCTATGTTTTGTTCTCACATTTGGTAACATAAGTCACTAGACAATTGGTGGTTTTTTGGAAAATAATAACGAAACTACATGTACCCGAATGATTTGTATCTATTATTGGTGCGAAAATTCCCACCGTTTAGTAAACATATTAATTACTTTTTGTCAAAGCAATTTAAATGGAACGTGTCGAGTAAAATATTTTATTTTATTCTAAAGACATTTAACTGAAATTCGATTCATAGTAAATATTTTTAGTGGTTACATAGATATATATGCAACAAAGCTTTGTATTCATTTATTGAGATTTTATTTTGCCTTTAAATTTCATAGTCTTAAAATGACCATCATTAACGAAAATATATCTCAATAGTGCTAATGCCGTAAGGCAAGATTTATGCAAGCCAATGGATATAATTTGAAATAGTGACATATATACTTTTCGAACTGATTATAACAATTGAGATAGTTGATACTAATTAGAACTAAATAACTACATGTGTCTATGGACATGCTTCATCAACAAAGTACCGAGTATTGCGAAACATCTGTCCTACGTTCAGGACACATATATTGTTGTCCCTCAGACAAAGCCCATAGTATAACATGTATGTGTTAAAATCACATTCCATCAACTCTTTGATAAGTGAACTAAGTATTGTCAATTAAATTGAAAACCCAAATATACAATTCGTCGATACTTACTGCTGATTCTACACTTAGATGCAGATTGGACGAAAAGGACCAACTATGTTGTTATCTAAAATGAAGGATACAATTATTTTTGTTAGGCAAAAATCATACTCTGTAAATAAACACTCTGACTAAAGAAAAAGAGTTCTTTAAAACTGACACCTGATGCTTTTTTATATCAGGTAACATATTTTATACAGACATTCGTCTATCCTATTGAAACTAGCTATTTTTCGTCCCTTTTTCGTTTATGGTAGACTTCCTGAAAGGGCTAGTCCACAAAAATTAAAACAACAGGTAATAATATATTCTTTAACTTTAAAGCTACATAGATGCTTTCTTTTCATTTAATAGTTCAACGTTTGGTGACTACGGTGATAACATATATCCAATGAAATTTGGAATAACAGATACAATCGAAACACATTGAATTGTTTTAACCTGGGCTTTAATCTAGAAATTATTAGTTAAGGTCGGTTGAGAACTAAACTTTATGATATTGTTAATTTTTCCGGTTGGCAATGTTCATTTCTATGAGCCACATTCCAGTAGCACCTACACACGGAACAGGGGGGAGAAGATATCAAGATGGCGATGAAAACCCATACGTCCATCCAAAACAGATAATACAAAACAAGACAAAGAGTAGACGAAAAGACAATCAATGTTTACGAAACACTTCATACAAAACTAAATATTGAGCAAAACGTACACATCAAAAAACCGGGATTAAACTCAGATGCTCTGTAAAGGTTAGAAGATCCTCCCCCTTAGTGACATCCACTGTTTTACTGCTGTTAAAATATGTTGATGGGTCATATCCGGAAGTAAGGCATTATACAAAAACGGATTGGTATATTTATCTTGTATAACCCTGAGAAATCACAATATTCATACACCATCAAATTCCGAAACCAGAACTTTTGGCCATATGTGGAAGTTTGAAATGAAAAGACTGTGTCCCAGAACATATGATAGACGTGACAGATAGATACCAGTAGAAACATCACAGGCATCGAAAAATAAAACAGCACAATATAAAACACTGCAAATCTAAAAAAAAAAAACACAAATACATATTGTTCTTATATTATATTGTTAAACAACTATCCTCGGTTTAGGGGAGGGTTGGCGCCTTCAAACTAGTTTAACCCGGCCTGTCATAGTCCCAAGTCAGAAGTCTGTAATTCAGTGGTTGTCGTTTGTTGCTATATATGTTTTTTGTTCATTATTTAGTACATAAATCAGACCGTTAGTTTTCTCGTTTGAATTGTTTAACATTTGTCATTTCGGGGCCTTTTAAAGCTGACTATGCGGTATGGGTTTTGTTGAAGGCCGTACGGGGACATAAAGTTGTTATTTTCTATGTAATTTGGTCTCTTGTGGAGAGTTGTCTCATTGGCAATCATACCACATCTTCTTATTTTTATATGACAAAATTATCGATTCAAGTTGTGCACAAGGATGTATATATCCGAGTTGATACGATATTTCAGTGCTAGCATTTCCTATAATGAATTTGTAAAGAAAGTTGTAGCTTAAAAGGAAGCTATTTAACTAAGAATTATAAAGGGTAAAGTTGAAGTTCTCTTTTCAAACGTTTTACTGACACCATCATGCTTCAGTTTACCATTATTGAATAACTTTGTTGCCGATGACCACTGACATATTCTACTTGTTAAGATCAATAACCTTTTCCTACTTTATTACATCATTAAATGCGGCGACTTATTACTGGACAGCTTGATATAAGCAGTATGATGGTTGCAACAAGACTAGCAGGAAGTGCTCACCCTTCCATAACACCCGGTTTTGGCAGGGCTTCGTTACATAACCTGTGTAGTGTATTGTGAACTGATGGCAACAGTCATATTATATTTACAGTGGATAGCTAATAAATTGCTATTTGATATCAGTTTTGTTTTAACAATCTACCATCGAATTGGCAATAACCTATTTGTATTTCTTTGAGGATTTTTCGTTGTTCATATTTCTTAGGTTCCTAGACGTAATCGATTAATTATAATCAAGCAAAAACTACATTTATTTGATTTGTTTAACCTGCTAAAAATTATGATTTGATTTGTTAATTTTTTTTTAAATTTCGTACACCTTAATAGCACTTAATCGATTTTTCTTTTATGTATTATGTGACATACACGGCTTGACAAGACAAGATGGTAGATGTGGGATTTCATATACCCTATTTTTGAAGAAGTTAATTTTAGATATGGTAAATTATCATTTCTATTTTTAACATACCCATATAAAAACATTTTCAAAAAATGATATGAGAAGACAACAGCATTTAGCAATTGTTTATCAAAACTTAATTAAATTGCATTTGAGAATACTAGACATTTAATATACGATGTATAATCCTTTCTCATAATACAAAGCCTTACTATTATAGTCAATTTGTAATATGAGCCTTCGTTTACTAAGAAAATCGAATATTCCAAATAAAATTTAAAAATCGCATTTCTTGAAAATATTTTTAAGATTTAAAGTAATTTAAATATATTTTCTGTCTAATACATATAAAAAGCCACTTACCTTAAAATATTGAGTGCAAATATTAGAAGCTTATGGATAGGATGGTGTTTCACTTCTATATCATGTTTTTTCTACCCGGTTAAGGCGACACATATATGTATTCAAGTTATAGTTGATTACATTTCATTCACATTTGTAAAGAAGCGTATATAATTTCTGTTACATATACTTTAACATTTCGTCAGTATTATAATGTGTGTTAAATATTCTATTGTATTGGTGCAATAAATAACTGGAAAACCCCTGTAAATAGTTTTAGTTTCTCAAACAATATTTCCATAAAGTTCGAATCCAAAGATAAATGGAAACACTTTGTTTACATAAACAAATAAAAAAATCTAAGAAGAAAAATCAAGACATGACGTCTCTTATTGCTTTTATCAGTGCAAAACGCATTATTCACGATAAAACGCATAAATAAAATTCAATAAAAAAAAGTATTCATCTTGTACTTTAATGTTATTGGTATTACAGAGGGAAGAAATTAATCATACACTGTTTTTGTTACAAAACAATAAGCAATATAACTACTTGTACATTGTTTGTACAACATCAAACATGATTACGAATTCTAGCTGTTGTTGCAAGTACTTCAAATAGTGTTAATTTCTATGACACCAAATCCATTTTACATTTTCAGATAAACAATGTTAACTCATATTTTTATGTATGCATGTATGTAAAAATTTCTCAAAACTGCAATTTTGGTAAATTTTTGCATGGTTAAAAACTAAGGCGATGTGGTATAATTGTTTATTAGACAACTATCCAATAAAGTCCATGCAAGTGACGTGGATTCAAAGCTAGTTAGAAGCCAATAACATCTAAGAAATAAAACATGCTTGAAGACCGTACTTTGACCTATAATGTTTTGTTTTTTTTAACTTTTGACTTGGATGGAAAGTTGTCCCATTGGCACTCATACCACATCTTCTTATATCTATTTCGATGACTAAAATTTAGTTTTAGTTTAGGTCATTACCTACACTCACTGTTTAGGTTGTGATAAAGTTTTTATGGAAACCTAACTGTTAATATATAATCCGTTATTTCAAGATCAAAAGATTCGCTTAATGGAGCAGCGATATTACTAGAAAAAACAAGAATCGTCAGATGGTAATAAGTAAAACAAAAAGTCTCTTAAAAAATGAACACGCATTCAAACCGTATTACACGATTTAAATAACAACATGATTGACAAAAACATTCGACACGCTGAGGGTATTCTAACATTTGGGACATGCACATTAGCTAAGATCATTCATATGCAATTATCTAATATTCGAGCGTTTGATTTTGTGAGGTGTTATGGATTTCCCCCTTTTTGAATTTATCTTAAGGTTCGTTTTTTTAAATTCTTTTCCACATGCAATTCTCTGACAGTTACCTTCACTAAAATAGGAATAAATGGTCATTTGTCATTTCGGGGCCTTTTATAGCTGACTATGCGGTATGGGCTTTGCTCATTATTGAAGGCCGAAAGTGACCTATTGTAGTAAATTTCTGTGTCATTTGGTCTCTTGAGGAGAGTTGTCTCATTGGCAATCATACCATATCTTCTTATTTTTATATTGTATGCATAAATTTAGAAAAGAGCACCTTTCTCAAAATAAATTTCTGTATTCAAACGGCTCCTTAGTGAGTAAATTCACTTCTCTTATAATAGATTCCTAATTCCATTGTTATATAATTCAAAGGTTTTATAAACAATTTCGTATTTATGACAATATCATACACATTGTGAAGAAATTTTTTAAAAGACTTTCAAGATCAACAGCAGGACAAACGTTACCCCCTCACTACATTGTGTAGCAAATTGTTTTACTTTTGGCAAATTATTTTAACAAAATGATAATACTTTCATGTATTAGTTGAAATAATGAATAATTTCTTTTGGTTTTTTTTCTTTAATACATAATGAGGTTAGTGTTTTTTTTTTAAGGATTTTATTAATATATTTTTTTTAAATATCTGTTGTTCGTCCACTATTCGAAATGAAAAGGAAGGAGATTCAACATCTTAA